CTCGGCCGTGGTCCAAAAGTAACCAAAAAATTAGTTTTTTTCAGGAACTGCTGTCAAAAAATCCTGGTTAGTAGCAGTTAGTAGCCATACCCTAAGGGTATGGTCCGTTATTAACTGACTACTAACCGCAAGTAACCAGGATTTTTTGACAGCGATTCCTGAAAAACAACTAATTTCTTGGTTACATTTGGACCACGGCCGATATTTACGTCACTTTTGTGACAGATTGACATTCGACTTAATAGTAACCGTAAAAATATAGCGGTTATTAAATTGACGTTTAAGTCACCATTTTTCAGGTAATTTCAGTCCCTAAATTTACCGATTTTTCAGGAATGTCAAGTAGAGCGGTTAGAGTTTTGGACAGAGTAACCGATGTTTCGGTTAATAACGGACCATACCCTTAACAGAGAAGGTACCAAGTATGACACATCAACAAAAATGTAATTTTATGGAAAATTCAGCAATATAACTGTTCATTGTGTTACTTTTCATTTTAACGCCTTCTGGCGGGTTAAAAAAACTTACGTATTGTAACACATTTAATAGCTAATTTTATTAGTAATTCAATGCACTATATAATTATGTTATCTGAATCAAAAATGAACCTAAAATAAAAAAGATTGCATTTTTACTAACTTTATTTTGTTGCAAGTGCAATATGGATATATTTAGCTTAATCTTGTGTGGTGCATTGGATTACTAATAAAATTAGTTTTCAAAACAAGTGTCACATTTTACAATATGCAACAGTTTATCCCGCTAGCGGGCGTTAAAATGAAAAGTAATGCAATGAACAGTCTTATTGCTGTTTTCCCCATAAAATGACCTTTTCGATGATGTATCATACTTGTACTATTTAAATTGTACTGGTGATGGGGGAAGTATAATGACATGACAGTTGAGGATATTATAGAAAGATTCATCTCTTGAACTAAAAATCGACCTGTTTTTGTGATCTACTTCAAGATATTCTGAGATACGACCAGTCTCCACCCTTAATGATTCGCCCTATACAATATCAGCTGCTGTTCACTAGCCACATTACTTGGTTGCGGTGCTAAGTATATTAATGAACATTTATATTTATAATAGTAGACAAATGTCTTATTTTTGTGCCCAGCAAATCAAAGGATCTCCATTTTTGATATTTTCTCTAGTTTAGTGTAAGGTAAGTTCTTCAAAGTTATTCCAAAATAAACCTTGAGAAATCGAGTCGGGGATATTGTCCTGAACCTCTTAGTTTACCCGATTTGATTTATTAGCAGTTTTTGCTAAAGGGGCATAATCAGCCAATTTTTTATACTTAAATATTCATAATGTGTATATATGTACTTGCAATTTCATCTTAGATACAGAAAAACCGCGTTTAAGCTATATCCCGAATTTCATTGCAAATAGTAAATATTCAGTCATTTGGCTGGTATTCCTATACCGGAAGTAGCAAAACTGGAAGACAGAAAATGCTTGCAAAGGGACGGATTTTTTATGTTATTGACGTCTAGAAGCATATATTTCATTGGCAGCAAAATTTGAATTTGAATTTCACAGTTCTTATATCCCCTCTTATTTCTGGTACATATTATATATTGTTCACCACCTTCCCTGAACCTAGGGGCGGTTTCTCCATTGGTTCACTTGTGCAGTGAACACCCAGTTAAATTTCATTATTTTAAAATCACATATAAATAACTTAATAATATAAATTCACTTTAACATATGCATTTATTTTTTTGGTACCCCACTGCGCTCAGTCTGATCGCGTCTGTTGGTTCAATATGTTGATTGAACGCAAAGGTGTCTGAGAATGAATGTTAAAAAGACATGTTAATAGATCCGTGAAACAGCAGTGTGCCTGCTTGAAACCTAGTCTAAGCTTGAAACCACGGTACTTTTAACATCATTTTGTGCATCGCACGTAGATTACGTCACGACAGTTAACTTCGCTTGGTCCAACGATTAGTTGTGCTTCGTCAAGGTCACTCTGACTAGGAGTCTTTAATTCAACGTTGCCATATTTGGTAGATTTCTGCTTTTTGGTAGGTTTTCAGCTATTTTAGCTAGTTTTAGTAGACAATTTTCTTTTGGTGGATTTCAGTAGAATTCTATAAATTAATAAAAAAAATCCAATTACTCAAATAAAACTTCCTACTTAAATAATCTTGTTGCCAAAATGGATTACTAAAAACGTTAAGGCCGGGCGATCATCAAAATAAATAATATTTTCGACTAGTAGATTACTTAAAAATAATAGATTCTTTATGATTTATCGATTATTTTCGGTTACTCGATTATTTTCGATTAATCGATTATTTCCGATTAACGGATTAATTTCAATTTATCGATTAATCGATTATGTCCGATTAACGGATTATTTTCGATTAATCGATTCTATTTGATTAATTGATTATTTTCAATTCTTATCGATTAATTGATTCTTTTCATTATTTGTGATTCTTATTTTTGTATTTTGTTCGGGGTTTGCAGTGCGTATTTGAATTTACTTAATACGATTGCTTTTACTTATAGTGTGGTGTAAATAAAATGTTTAACAGTTCTACTGGACGAAATTTGAACAAAACCCATTTTCATCTTGGCTTTGCAATGCCCAAGATGGGTATAGTGGCTTTTATATAGCCACGTAATTTAATCAAAAAGTGCTTCACTAAAAAAGAAAATGTTTGTGCGAAGTATAAAAAGCATATTTCAGGATTCACAGGCAGCGCTAAGGTTTGTCCTCTCTAAAAACTAACCAAAACAAAATTTTTGCTTTTTAAAATTGACAATTTCTTAGAAAATGTCACGAGTTTCAGATGAAATTAAAACGGTAGTTTCTGCGCTTGTACCATTTCTAGTAATGGATCATCTAAGTGATGGTATCAAGCAACCTTTTCATGACTCAGGAATCTTATAAAAAATTCGGAACTTAATTGTATTAAAACGGACGAAGCGAAAGAAGTTTTGAGGGACATTGGCTCTTGTACAAAGTTTTACAAATGCTAAAATTATCGGAAAAAATTGAAACCCCATTTTAATTTACGACGAGCCGCCACTGCCTGTACCCAACTACAAATACTAAGCAAAAAATATAATGTATCCAACACATGACTTTCCTACATACATCCTATTGTATCACCTCTGTAAATGTTTAGAAGATAAACTAAATATATAAATGTTCCACATACATCTTACTCGAAACATTTTTTTATATATATTCATTGCCAACGAACTGAAAAAATGAAATTTTACACTTTTCTTCAATTTTTTCCATTACGGTCTATTTTAGAGAAATTGTGTATGAAACAAAAATTATAGAAATCGATATTGCAAACAATTTTTTTACATTTTGTAAAATTCCTTGAATATGGACCATTTTAGAAAAATTTTGTATAGGACAAAAATTATAGAGAATAGTATTAGAAGTAAATTTTATTTGTAGAATTTTCTTCTCCAAATGTAACTAACAGATATATTCCATAAAATATATAAACGCCCCCCTATCAAGTACCCCCCAGATGTTCCGACTTTACCCAAAATCTAATCAGTCCTCCTCAGGTTGTAATAAAGCTTAAGTTTAAAATTTGATGTTTTTCTCTTTATTCGCTTTTGAGTTTTCTTCATAATTTGAAATTTACACTTTTTCTCAAATATCTCGACTTCGAACCATTTTAGGAAAATTTTGTATAGGGCAAACATTATAGATATTAGACGTAACTTATTTGAAGAATTTTCTTCTCCAAACGTAAATAACAGATATATGTATATTCCATAAAATAAAAATGATCCCCTATAAAGTACCCCCAGATGTTCCATCTATCCCTAAAATATAATCAGTTCACCGTAGGCCGGAATAAAGCTTAAGTGTGGCTTAAGTTTAAAATTTGGTATTTTTCTATCCGTTCATGAGTTATCGGGTACACAGACACACACACACACAGACATCATTGCGAAAATAGTCAAAACAGATTCACTTCCACCAAAACGTAAAAATCCGTCGAAAACTAGAGGTCGAAAAAATCATGATTCAGATAGGAAAGTAAAAAACGACTTGCCACTTTTTTCAAGTTACATGAGGGACTATAAATACACAGAAGGCATACTACCTACATTAATAAAGTATGTTTCTGGATGCAAAGTTATTTTGTACAAAAATCATTGCTACAACTCATTATTATAATTATTTAGTAATTTCAGAAGTTGATTTTTTTGCCTTTAAAATATATTTTCTCGATTTTGGTGCAGACTGTCATTTTCTTGCACGCAAAATCGTTGAAGAATGCAGCTCATTCTTAAACGATTTTTGGTGACTTTTTTGTGACATTTCAGTTGACATTCACTAATAACTGCCAGTGGGAAGGGCTCGTAAATCTAAGGGGGTTGCTACATAGTCTTCCTTCATGGACGCTATTTTTATTTAAAATAGTAGTCCTTATCCTGCCAATTTATAAAAAATAAACGCTTTTTTTAAATAATATTTTTATTGTGTTCGACATAAAAGATTTCTTCTTCATTCTTTTATTGGGCAACATATAAACGATTTAAATTTAGTCGATTATTTATTATTTCACCTATTGCAGACAGACTACATCATATGTCGCAACCCTTTAGACATACCGAACCTTATCACCGTGTTTCATTTGTTTGGAATGCCTGATTTTCGGAGAATAAAAACGGTAAATAAATCCCAAAATCAAGAATATAGTATAAAACACACGTTGCAGAAGGCTATTCTTGCACTCATTTGTTCGTCCACTCTCTCCTTCATCGCTTGTGTCCAAATTTCGAATTCGTGTGGGAATATGTGACCTTCTGCAATTTGTATTTTCGTAAACCATTCTCACTTATTTTAGCTTCATATTGACGATTCCTGCCATAACCAACATAAACCCAAAAGGGAAATATTGTTACAATGACAACTTTTATAAATAAAATAGTGTATTACCAAATCATAACACAAAAATTACTTGTTTAATTATTAATTTAATACTTTATCATTTCAGCAGTTTTTAGAACCATTAAAATGGCAAGTCCTTCACCTCAGAACAGTCCAATGCCCCCTCCTCAAAGTCCAATGGGCCCCCCTCCATCTCAAAGTCCAGCTCCACCTTCACCAGTTCCTCAATCCCAATACCAAAATGCACCACCTCAACAAACGTCATATCCTAATCAATATCCAGGACACCCTCAAATGCCAGCTGGACAAGACCACCAACCTGTGCATGGATCAGCACAACATCACCAGTATGCACAGGGCAATATGGGTTATCCCCAACAAGGACCACCACCAGGACAAAATCATCCAGGACACTTACCTCCTCAAGGCCATCCTCCGCCACCACAGGGACATGTACTTCCTCAAGGTCATGTACCATCACAAGGACATGTTCCACCTCAAGGACATGTTCCTTCTCAGGGACATGTACCTCAACAAGGTCATGGACCCCAACAAGGTCATGGACCCCATGTTCCTCCTCAGGGACATTTACCTCCTCAAGGGCATTTACCTCCCCAAGGACATGTTCCTCCTCAAGGACATGTTCCTCCACAAGGACATGTTCCTCCACAAGGACATGTTCCTCCACAAGGACATGTACCACCACAAGGACATGTTCCTCCACAAGGACACGTACCTCCACAAGGACATGTACCTCCACAAGGGCATGTACCATCACAAGGGCATGTAATTTCTCATGGACACAATACAAGTTCTTTACATCAAGGTTCACCACAAGGGCATCCTCATCATTCTCAACCAACAGGACACCCTGGACATGCGCCTGCTTCATCCAATTTACACTCAGTACATTATCCAGGTATATTTTTTACTGTCTAGTTGAATTTAATTTTCAAATATTTCCTCATTAACAAATTCGAAACAAAGGCGATTTTTATCAAAATTGCAGCTCAAAAAATAATGACATTATGGAAATTACAACAATTTGCAAAATATTAAAAAAAAAATAAGAAAATTATACTTATATTCAACTTAGTAACAAAATAGATTGACTAGGCTAGGAATTACCCACTGTGAAGTAAAAACAATTTTGCTGCCTAGTTAAACAAATACTATTTATTCCATGTTAGGTCATCCAATGAACCATGGTCCTCCTGCTCAGGCTGGTCAACCTCACCAAGGCAGAACTGCAGATAATTTACATGCACTTCAAAAGGCAATTGATACAATGGAGGAAAAAGGCCTACAAGAAGATCAAAGATATTCCCAATTACTTGCTCTCCGTGCTAGATCTAATGCTTCAGTTGGCAGTGGAGTTTTGACACCACTTCAAATGAATCAACTTAGAAACCAAATCATGGCATACAGGTATTTTTCCCAAGCAGTTACCTGTAATTTAGCAAACTTCATTAAAATTTACTGATAATGGGGTCTATTCTGTAACGTTTTAGTTAATTTTAACTGCCAGGTTAAAAGGTTATTTATAACTATGACATTTAAATTTTAACCCAAATCTCTATTCAATACTCCATCAATTTAATTTTGTGCTATTACCAAACCTAGTTAAAATAGACAGCAACGATGTACTATTCCTAAAAAGTGAAATGAAAGTAAGCCCAATGCAGCATTAAAAATAAAAATATATTTGACGGTAAATCATTACTATATTTATTGCTGACAGAATACAAAATTAAAAATAACATCCAAATATTTTTATAACCCAAGGTTAATTTTAACCAAATTTTTACAGAATATACCCCTCGTAATTTAAAATTTGTGTAGTTGTCGATGTGAATTTTAAAAAACTAATAAGCTACCTAAAATAAACATTCCAATCCAATATTTTTTTACTTGGATAGGTGATTATTAAAAGACAAATAAAATATATACAGGGTGTTTCAGAATAAAGTACCATAAATAAGGGGACTTGTAGATCTTAACTAATCTATGAGAAAAGCTAAATATATTTTTTCTATGAACGTCCCAGTTTTTATGCTACAAGGTTATAAAGTAACATTCATAAATACATAATTTTCTAAATATCTTCCCTTACCTAACCTAGCCGCGATCTCTGGATTGCCGTTCCAACGTCCTAACTTCTAGACCACCAGAACTTCTGTATCTGGTGTCCTATTTGTTAATTTAAGTATTTAGATTCGATCGCAACTCAGTTTATCAAAATCTTTTTCAATTCTTCAACTCTTCAATAGTCACCTATGTGACATCATCAAAGGTACATTGGATCATGTGCATTATAACCCTCATTTCGTCCAGGTGTTAAGTTAACTAGTAATGGAAACGCCGCTAACGAAATGTAGATGAAAATGATGAATAAACTGAAGGTTTATTGTGAAAATTGTGATTTATTTAAGAATAATGAATTCCACTGAATTAATCTCAGATGATGTTCGATGGAACGAAAATCTGCAAATTTGTAATAGTAATACTCATTAGCTTAATTTAAAAATAACATTCATTTTATTTGAAGTAAATTTAAGATATTACCTATATGATTGTCTTAAAATCATTAATTAGATAACATTAGAAAAACTGAATAAATACTAGTTATATAACACAAGACGTAAAAAACAACAATTTTATAATTTAAGGCCATCTTCGGCTGCTCTACGGTAAAAGAAAGTATCTGCTTCAGAAAAATTTTTACAGGAATGCCAAAAATAGTTCAAAGCGTTGCATGAAGGATATTCCTATAATTTTAACTGCTGATGTAATTGGTGACTATTACATCTTTATGAGGATTTTAAAACTGCTATCATATTGTAGACATTTCTTGTGGAAATCTGTTTTGTCAGTTACTCTGCAGTTAATCTTTTAGACCATTTTTTAAAATATATCATTGTTCTAAGGAAAAACAAAATATAGTGCTATACGTTGTTTTTCATTATAATTTACATGATTAACCGTACAATGTGTGCTAGGAAGAAAGAGAGTATAGTGCAACTTTGTTTTACCATAGAGCAGTTCACTGTATTTTACAAGGTCAAAACAGAGGTTTACTATTTTCTTTTGAATATGTCAGATTTCCGAATTATCTAAACTTTAATGGAAATTATTATGTATAGTTCTTACAATTAATTTACACAAATATAGATATGTACAGCGAGCCTCATTTTTTACGTTCTCTGATCATAAGGCAACAAATATATGATATGAGACAGTTCAATACCTAATTGCTTTCTTCTTTGTTGATTTCTTTATCTATCAAATTTCGCCATGCTTAAATTTCAGACTGTGGGTTATAGACATGGCTTTTGAATTTATGTTACAAATATATAATGGTTTATCAAATAATGGTAAGGTTGTTACTATATTTCGAAATTTATAGTTAAATTCTTTGAATATGGACATAATGTACACTCCAAATATAAAAAATAAAAAATCTAATTTAAAAGTAGCCTAAAAAATCATAACTTATTTTTAATATATTTTAGATGTATCGCAAGAAATCAGCCAATACCTCATTCTATTTTACTGGCATTACAAGGGAAGAGGCCTGATGGATCACCACAATTTCCTACTCCTCCATCGAGTCCATTTCAACCACAGGCTACTGGTCCAAATCAGCCTGGTGATCAACCACCATCTGGTGGTGAAGGAACAGTAGATCCAACTGCTGGAAGTGCACCTCAAGGTGTGTAAAAGAAAATTTTATGTTGTTTTGACTTTTTTTTTTAATGTTTTAACGCCTATAATACAAAAAGAAATTTGTTTGATTTACAATACCTCATATAGTCAGTTTTCTCATATTGTGAGCCAATTTTAAGGACAAACTCATTAATAAAACACGAGCGTTACCTGTTTAAGTGATATTTACCTTGGTGAAATACAATAATCGTGAAATAATTATTTTTACAATGGTTTCTTTTTTAATTATTTATAATTTTTCCTCTAAAAATAAAATTTTACATATATATGTACCTATCCAACTACTGATCTATTAAACAGTGTCTACATTTAAAATAGTTTGAAGTAATTTTTAATAGAATAAATTGATATAAAATTAGCAGCAGGTACTGATTGAATTTAAGGTTTGTTTAGCAACTTGAAAGATACATGATCCATCCATACAAATATGTTCATTACGTTAACAAATTATGTATAGTTCATTCCTTCTTTTGAGAGTTAGAGTTGGACTAAAAATGTATAAACCTGTAACTTTTTTACACAACAATTGGGCCAGCGATTTTATAACAAAGCAAATCTGAAATACTCATACGTTTTCACTCGAAATCATTGAATTCCCTTACAAATCTCTCGAAATTCCCGAAATCAAAATCATCATGGAAATTGGTCAGCTCGATCCGGAGTGGCGCAATGATAACGCAGCAGGTGGATCAAAAAACAAGTGAAAACAAAAAATTTTGAATATTCCTTTCACGAAAGAGTACAATAATAATGGATATTATATGAGGGATGTTCTCTTTCCGCGGAGTCTATCTAATATGCGATATTTTTGCACCAAATTTTGTCTGAAATTTCAATCTAGTTGTTTACAAGTTTAGTTAGTGACAGTAGTTGTCAAGTAAATTACATAAGTTTGAAGTAAACCTTTCGTCAGTAAGTGATAAAAATGGTCTAGAAGCATTATCGGTCTGTGACTTTTTACAATTTCAAGAATGGCTGAAACTGTATACAATGTTTTAAGGACATCATCGAGTGCTTGGTGTCGTCATATTCCTTCGCTACCGTAAAGCACTGGTACAATGAATTTCAACTTGGTCGACATTCCTTAAATTACAGTTTTCAAGTTTTTACGCCAAAAATGGTAGTTACAGAAAACATATTGATCTTATTCGGAACATGATTAAAGAGGACCAACATATTACTGTCAGAAACATTGAAGCAACTTTAAAGATTGATGTGAAAGTAATTAACAATATTTTACACAAACATTTGAAAGTCTGTAAGCTTTGTTTTTGGTGGATTCCTCACAGCTTGACTTTAGCTCAACAAGAAGATGGTGCAGATCTACACTATATCGCTTTGATTGTGGATCGTCTAATTTGGTGTACAGCATTATCACAGGTGATGAAACATGGATATACTGCTACAATCCCGAAAAATGCAACAATCGTCAGTTGGGTATTTGAGAATAAAATAAATATTCTTTATTTGCTTATAAAATATTTCTACCTTTTTAGCATTGTCACACAAAAAAGAAATATAATTTATTACAGACAATTAAAAGATTCAAAATTATATACAAAATACAATCATAGTAGTTTAATTAGTTATTAAAGAGTATATAGGTTGATTGAGTAGTGTGTTTTTTATTTTTTTTATGTATTGTAATAATTTAGTTCGCGTATTTCAGAGGGAAGTTTATTGAATAATTTTAAAGCATTACAGATAAAACTTTTATCAGTCAGTGTTAATCGGTGCTGTGGGATTATCAGTAAATTTCTTAGTCTAGTATCATGATTATGAATATCAGCTGGTAAGACAAGATTTTTTTGTTAGACTTTACATATAATAGGCAGTGAAGTATATACAGGCTGGCCACTTTTTTAATGTGATTGTATTAGTAATTTCCAAACCATACTAGTTACAAAGTCGGTTAAATGGAGTAAAAGTTGCGTATCTCGAAGCATAATTTAGCGGTGGAAATTAATCGAAAATAGGCCCAGTTCTTGAGGTATTTCGATGAAAGGAAATTCGATCTTTTCGGTTTTTTGGTTATCGTTCATTTATTTTCAGAACTACCAAAAAACATTTTAAAGGTTTTTTATTTGATAGTAAATTTTCATTGATTTGACGTTTTCATATTTTGCATCCAACGTTTCGTATTCTCCGGTCCACCCTCAACCTATTTTTTTAAATATGGACTTGGATATTTTATAACATTATTTGAAATAACTTTTCATCCTGCATCCAGCGGTGTATTACACAATGGCATTCACTGACGGTTTTTGGGTAATATGGACCGTAATCCAATTTTTATTAAATTTACACTTGGTTTCAGCCATCTTTAGTTGAATCAACATAATTACATACTTCTCGATAAAAAAATAAAGTCATTTCTTACAAAATTTATGTAGTTCTCCGAAAATTAAACAATTCATCAACAACAACAATAGTAATGTAGAAATTTTAAAACGCTATTACTGATAAAAAAAAATCGGTTTTTGTAAGTCATAATCAAATTATTTGAAATTATCAATAAAATTAATTGAGTAATTGTTCAAAATGTCCGCCATTTTCTTCAATACACTTGGCGATTCTGATATTCATATTTCTTATGCTATTGCTTATTTCTTCTTGGATATCTTCCAATACATCTTCAGTCTTTTCGGGGAGAATCTCAATTGTTGCATTCGGTGTATTATACACTTTATTTTGGAGACGTTCCCACAAATGAAAATCTAATGGATTCAGATCTGGAGATCGGGGGGGATTTGTAATATTTTTTTTAGCTGAATATGGGAATATTTTATTCATAAGAATAGTAAGGGTTTTATTATTTTTAGGAGCAAATTTAGGGGGCCACGCCACTGGACCTCTTGTTCCAATCCATGAATTGGGAAAAGTCTGATTCAAATAATCCGTGACCATTCTTGAATTGTGTGGACCACATCCATCTTGTTGGAACCAGATTTCCTTAAGACAATACTCTATAGGAAGATCATCTAACATGTCCTGCAGTATATCTAAATATGTTTCTGCAGTAAGGTTTCCGTCAATAAAGTATGCTCCCAGTAATTTATTATTAACAAACCGCACCACATATTCAAAGAGAAACGATATTGATGTCTCACTTTTTGGATTAGGTGAGGATTTTCCGTGGTATAAAAATGTTTATTTCTTCGATTGAACATACCAGAATTTGTAAATGTTGTTTCGTCTCCCCAAATGATATTGTGTGCAAAGTTGTTATTAATTCTTACCTTCTGTTTAAACCAATTACAAAATCGCAATCTTCTTTCAGGATCATTATGATACAGTTTTTGTACCGCTTGGTATTTGTAATCATGTTATCCGTGTCTCTTGACTATCTTATTAACAGCACTTTTTGATAAATTACATTCGCCTGCAATAGTCCTTGACCCAACTCCTGGATTTATTCGAATTTGAGCTAAGACATTAATATCGTTGACTGGCTCCTTTCTTCGAACATACGGAACTCTAGGTTTATCGAACGTAATATGTTCGAGAAGAGTTGTAGACAAACGCCGAAAAATGTTTATATTTGGTTGCATTCTGTCGGGATATAAGTCCTCGTACCTTTGTTTTGCTCTAAACGAATTTCTGTCCAGTTTAATGTACAATTCGTACATATCTCGTTTTTCTTCTGCAGTGTATCTTACCATATTGAAGTTAGACTAGGTACCAAGAAACACACAAAAAACTTTTGAACAATGAGAAATTTTCGTAAGGCAATAAAGAACAATATAATAATAATGTGACAGTTCTTGTAATATGGATTGTTTTCACGACCTACTATATTCTATAACAAGTAAGATAATACTAGTTTAAAATCATATCAATTGATGTGCCAGTAATAATTTTTTTTTTTATCCACTTTTCATTATTTAGTTCTAGGAGTTCTACATATAAAAAATAAGTAAATAATTTAATTTTAATTTAAATCTGGTTGAGTGGAAGATTGGAATTTAATTCCAAACTCTGCCTTTTGACATAATTTTGTATATAACCTACTATTAAAATGTATATTTTGTTCTTATGTATTTAAATGTCATTAAAAGCGATATTATTATTTATAATGATGATAATTAGATGGAAAAATAATTGAAATAAATAACATCTCGAAGTTTATTCAAAGTTGTAACATAAAAAAACTGATATTTTGCCTTCAAATTTGGTAGGTATGTATTGCCAAAAATGGAAAATTTTTTTTTAATTATTTATCTTATCAAAACATATTTTTTTAATAGTCGCATAATTGAATAATTATTGATTCTCATTTATTTTTTCCTAATTACTCACTTTTATGTTCGAAGTATTATACACTTTGAAAAAATTAACACTGATTATAAATTCAATACAAATCCGTAACAATAAAATTTGGATTACGGTCCATATTACCCAAAAACCGTCATTGAATGCCATTATGTAATATACCGCTGGATGCAGGATGAAAAGTTCTTTCAAATAATGTTATAAAATATCCAGGTCCATAAAAAAAAAAAAATAAGTTGAGGGTGGTCCGGAGACTTCGAAACGTTGGATGCAAAATATGAAAACGTCAAATCAAAGAAAATTTACTATCAAATAAAAAACCTTTAAAATATTTTTTAGTAGTTCTGAAAATAAATGAATGATAACCGAAAAGATCGAATTTCTTTTTATCGAAATATCTCAAGAACCGGGCCTGCTATTTTCGATAATTTCCACCGCTAGATTATGCTTCGAGATACGCAGCTTTTTCTCCATTTAACCGACTTTCTTACTAGTATGGTTTGGAAATTACTAATACAATCCCATTAAAAAAAGTGGCCACCCTGTATAGTTATGGGAGAGTCAATATTTGAAATTGGTTAAATATAGGTCTACATGTTTCTAAAGGTGGTCTTTTAACAATTACCCTAACAGCTGATTTTTGTAAGACAAATAATTTGTGCCAGTCTACTGAGTTGCCCCAGAGCAATATTCCATGACATCTGATTATGGAATAAACCCTTGTAGGCTGTTCTACATATTTTTGTAGATATGTTAGATGATAGCTTCATAAGTAAATATCTTTGATAAATGGGTTATATGTTGCTTCCAGTCTAACTTACTGTCTTGCGTGATGCCTAAAAACTTCATATGGCATGGGGTGGTGAGTGATAGCTCATTTGAAAGGGGGTTTTATTCTCTATTCAACCGTGCAAAATGTTTTGAAATTTGCTTCATTATGTGTTGATTTATTAATGTTTAAAAATAACAAAACATCACAAATAGGAAAGCAACTAAACTAACAGTGACCTTATCTAATGGCAAAAAGTCTTACTTCACGTCTGAACCAAAACCGATATCATGCAGGACCGAATTTTAATTCTAAGGATGAGTGCGCTACGTCAATTTCCGTTATTCTGAAACAATAATTAGTCGAGAATTAATGAAGCAAATTTCAAAATTTTTTGCACTGTTGAATAGAGAATAAAACCCCCTTTCAAATGAGCTATCACTGACCACCCCATGCCATTTAAATTTTTCGAAAGGGTTGCTCCCCTCCAGTAAGGGATGAAATTAAGGGTAAACTATTCATACAAAAATGTACATTGTAGAAATCAAAAATCGACGTGTCTCGGCGATTTTCCTAATAAGACTCCAGTAACGAGTTAGATAGGGGGGGGTAAGACTTATGATGCTCACTGTATATCAAGTTTATTAACCTTCATGTTTTCTAAGTTGGTTGAAACCTCTTTATTTGTAGTTCCACAGTTAAAACTGAGTTGTTTGGTTGTCAAGTACGTTTGTGGCATATGTATTTTATTTTTTTTAAATCCTGTAGATGATAATCATACGTATTATACTTTCGATATCGGCCAGGTTGATGGTTTATAAATTTCGTCTTTCAGCTCAAAATTAACCCCACACAAAACATTTGTTTTGTGATTCATTTGTTGGTAATTCCTTTATAATTAGGTTTTACTTTTTGAATGCTTCTTGGTCTTTTAAAAACTTACAGATATCTTCTGCCATTATATTAAAGCTTTACAAGATAGAGGTATAATCATGCCTTTCTTTGAACTCCTAGTTCATTTCCTGTGTGATTTTCTCTGAAGTTTTTTGGTTTCGGTTTATTTCTTTTGTATGTAACTTTTGTAAAATAATCGTTTTTTTTTATCATCAGCTTCTTTATCTAAATGGAGTTGGTTATTTGCTTTATTTTTGTGTTATTTGCTGTAGAACCAGATATTTCTTGGCTTTTCTCACCACCTGATTGGTTTGGCAACAGTGGATGGTCCTCTATTTTTGTTTGTTCGTAGGTGATTAGTTTTTCTTTTAATAAGTGTTTATTTTGTTTCAAGAGAAATTTATTTTCTAATAATAATTTACTTCTCATCTTTTTTTCAGTAGTAGTTTCTTTAGGAATTCGTTTTCATTTTTTAGTTGTTCGTTTTCATTATTTAAGTTTATGTGTTCTGGTATACTTGCTTGGGTGTCATATTCACAGCATATGATTCTAGTATCACAAATTTTTATGCATTGTATTTTATTACTTGTTGCACAGGATAGATGATATGCATTTCCACACTTTACACACGCTATTAGTTTTGTAGATTTAGTTTGACAACACGTAAATTGTTTTTCTTTGAAATTATCTTCATTAATTGTACAGAGCGCATTTTCTGGCTACTCGCCAATCGACGCCATCTTGTATTCGTGAATGAGTTGGCTCCAACAAAAGTTGTTCATGAAAAAAGCCGAAACAGAAAGATGGTCACCACTTTTTTGGAATTACTGGGCAATTTCCATTGTAACACTGGAGATTTGACATACTGTTAATTAAGAATGGTACACTACAATCTGTTCGCCTCAGGTTCTGCAAAAGGTTCGGGAAAAACGTCTACATTAAGTTGTGGATTAAAACAAATAAAATAATAGTTGGGCACCGAACCCATGTAAAACCGTTTATAAGGTATTATTAATTTTATATATTATAAATTATTTAAACATCGTCTATAACGATGCAACAGGTGATGTTTTTTGTAAATAAACGGTATTTTACTTTACTAGGCTTAACAGAGAACAATCCTCATATACAATGACACTATACAAATCCTATAAAATTAAGGCGAATTTCAACGAAATCACATGAAACAGGTGATTTCGCCGATAATATATAGAAGATTTTGGCGATATTCAAATTTTTTGTGATTTCCGAAGTACGGTTACGTTTTGACATTAGTGGTTTGCCCTTCGCCTTTATCACTATCGCGATTTACAACTTGGCCTTTCAGAGGTACTTGTTTCTATATTATAAATATTGCGAAATATATACAGGCTGATACAAATATTTTAAAAGAATAATATAAAATTGCAGTGACCAGTTTCGGTTTAATAACATGAAAAATTAATCTTCTGAAAATTATACCTAGTTTTTAATAGGTTAAATGTGATAAAAACAACCAAAAAAAAACCATCAAATTTTACTTTAAAAGAATGTTTAAATATGTATTCGTACTACTGTATGTAAACTACATTTGACAATCATAATTAAATTTTTAATTCTAAATGACCAGATCAATTGAACTATTTCACTCTGTGTTAATAAACAAAACAACACCTACCTTAAAACACATACTTTGATTACTATACGGTGCAAGAGAGAGGTCCGACACGCCCAACATAGGGCGCGGCCATTTTGATTCCTATGCCACAGTTTATAGCTAAAGAATCAGATCGCTCACTCTGCGTCGGCACTTTTGATCTCAATGTTCCAGTTTATACACTGCGCAACTCGAATAATACACTATATGACAACCGCCTATAATAAAACATCAGTCTTCTGCGTATCCTGAATTTGTATCCCTGGAGTGGATGTTATTTTGGAACTTTCAACTGGTCCGAGTGAGCTAACTGATTCTTTAGCAATAAACTGTGACTCCAAAAATAATATTCACTGACACTGACAGCAGCAAGCAAAATATCAGGTGCGTTTTAATCATCCGCTTCTGCTTCCGGAATTGTCGGTTCAGTCGTTCTAACCTGTCAGATTAAAACAAGAAAACCGACAATTCCGAAGCAGAAGCGGATGATTAAAACGCACCTATTAAAAATATTGCGCCAAGATGTAGGCAACACGTAATAAGGGATCAAAATGGCGGAGTTTTATATCTCCTTTTAAAAGGCACTCAGAAAGCTGCGCAGTGCGACCATTATCCGTATAATAGAAGAAAATCAAAGTATGTGGCTTAAAATCATCCTTATGTTGTCACACTAAGGGCCAGTCTTTTCACCTCTGAGTAAAATTGAAAATAACTGCTTGCTGATTAAACTATAGGGCTATTGTTCGTTAATCTGTCAAGAAAACCTGCATGTAACTTTACTTAGAGCTGAAAAGATAGGCCCTGAGTATCTTTGAAACCTTTGTAAAAATATACATTACGGCAACGTCGTATTATCACGTGCAAGTGAAAAGTACAGGGGTAAAGAGATAAATGTTACACAAAGTAATTTATGAATAAAACGATTTAAAAATTTGTAGACTGTAAAGTTGACGGAACTGGACTAATGCTGTGATTTAGACATTACATCATTCATCACTTTTAAATTTGACAGCTCTTAAAAATATTGTCAAACAAATTTTTAAAAATGCCGCAGCATTTAACTAAGGCTCAAAAGTCGAGGGCTATACAAAATTGGAAGAAAATTGGTTTGTCTTTAAGTAAATTAAATGTCATTAAAAATTAAATATTTTACTTTAAGAAATCTGGCAAGAACAAAGATTGTGAATATTTGAGACAAAGTGTAGGGATAGTCTCTAATGAAAATAAAGACAGTGCCCTCGTAGAATATATGCGTCAAAATCCTTTTGGAACCGCTGTAAAAGTACGAAAAAAACATAGGATCTCCCAGAACAGCTCAAATGAGCTTAAAACAATCTGGCTTAAAAACTATACTTATGTCTGCAATAAGTGCAAAAGAGTACAATTCTCCCATGAAAAGACATTTCAGATAATTACATGTTAGGTACTAAGCATGCTCATTTGTCGTGGACATGTCGCCGACGGGCTCCATGAACAAAGCTATTAACTATTACACTATTATTATCGTTGTCCATAAGGAAAAAGTCGCCGTTTCAGGCTCGTTATCAAATCTACAAATGGAGGTTGGTCCGAATTATCACATCAAACTGCCGTCTAGGAATCTCGACAATGTCGTCATGGTCTAGAGATAGGGCATTTGTGTACAGAACAAAGATGTCTGGGTTCGAATCACAGAGGCGACAGGCTTTTTTCAAATCTCGCAAGTATTTGTGGGGTTTGGGGATGGTGTTAATATTTCGTAGAGGGGTTTTTGAGATTTGTGTATTAATTTTTTAATTATTTTTACACCTTATTTAAGATAATTCTTACCTTTCGGATTTCGATTTGCGATCCACGATATATTAAATTCACAATTTTCAATTATTAGGTTAGATTATGTTGTTTTAATAGCCAGATTTTACATTTATTCAGGTTATTTGTGAAATAAAGTTAAAGGTCCTTTTTTAACATACTTCAAATAAGGAGGAGGTTCTCAATTTGTCGGAATTTATTTTTTTTTATGTATTTTCAGCGATAATTCTTTAACACGGTGTCCGATTTCAATGATTCTTTTTTTTTCTTCTTAGAAAGAGGGTACTTCAGGAGTGGTTCCATATAAATTTGGTCAAAATCTAAAAATTGGGTCCATGAAAAATCCTCAAACTCTTCATGTTTTATGTATGTTTATCGATAATTCTTTACTACATTGTCCGATGTCTATGATTTTTTTTTGTTAGCATGGGGTTACCTCAAGGGTGTTCCCATATAACTTTGATTAAGATGTGATGATGGCATCTGCACAATTTTGAAGTTGGTTTTTAAAATTACTTTTATTACTTGTCGTTATATAGGCTTTTCCCAAAACATGTAAAATTTCGATGGATAGTTAACTACGGTCCTGTAAAACATTCCTGATATTAAATCAAATTACTGAAATATTGCAAAAATATTTACATTACAAAAAAATTTTTGTCTGTAACATAAAAAAAAAATATTTTTAAAAGTCAGAACATGACTAATTTATAAAAATTAATATTTAACATAAAATTAGGGCATCTAAATCAATTTTGTTATACATGGTGTTATTTTTAAAGTGGCAAGAATAAGTTAAATTTTATTGAGCCAAACCTGAATTTTAATTATAATTTCTATGGCAAGAAAAGTCTGCCTGAAATATTTTAAATTTGTGTACTAATTATTTTTTGAGTTTTGGTCTAATAAAAATTGGAGTGAAATCCATTAAATACCCTGTATCTGGGTAATGAGATATCATACACCTATTAATAATGGGGAATTTTTTAATCATCCAAGTGTTCCACTCCTATAGTTAACGTATTTATATTTCTTGTAATCTGTATTTTTTGTCGACAAAATTCAATACTTCTTTAGGTCCTCAGAATCCACCCAATCAACAAAGAGGACCGGCTGGACCAATGGTACCAAGTAAGCAAACGCGATTTACCACCATGCCACGACCCTGCGGTATAGATCCTCTTGTCCTATTACAAGAACGAGAAAACAGAGTAGCTGCAAGGATTGCAGCGCGAATAGAACAAGTCAGTAATCTGACTCCTATCATTCCAGAAAAGCTACGTATTCAAGCCCAAATAGAAATCAAAGCTTTAAAATGTCTTAATTTCCAAAGACAATTAAGAAGTGAAATATTAAACTGCATAAGGAGAGATAGCGCCTTAGAGACAAGTGTTAATTTGAAAGCATATAAGAGAACCAAACGGCAAGGCCTCAGAGAAGCTAGGGCAACTGAGAAATTGGAAAAACAGCAAAAAATGGAAGCAGAAAGAAAACGAAGACAAAAAAATCAAGAGTTTTTGAATGCTGTATTAAACAATGGCAAAGAGTTTAAAGAATTTCATAAACAGAATCAAGCAAAGTTAGCGAAAATCAATAAAGCTATTATCAATTACCATGCTAATGCTGAAAGGGAGCAGAAGAAAGAACAAGAAAGAAGAGAAAAAGAGCGAATGTTAAGGTACCAATTTTTTTTTCACTTTAAAATCTTAATATTGTGACGAGTTGCGGCCTGTGCGACCGATTATCTGTCCGGACCAGAATATGTATGAATTGCATCCGTTATTACTATTCAAGAGTTCATATACATTCTAAGTTAAGTACAAGAGAACAGATGTATTATTAACAATTAAAATATTTTTCTATTGCCACCAATTCATGTCTTTATCAATCTGAAACTAATTTACCTAACCAGTACGGCTTGGAGCCAACTAATTGTAATTTTTTGACCACTCTGTATAGACAACATGCTAGAGCAGACATGTCAAACTCAAAGTCACTGGTGGGCCAAAAGCATGAAGACTGTAAACTAGGTGGGCCGCAAAACCTAATCTTAAAGAAAACAAACTAGGTACTGAGAATCTCAACACGAAAAAAGCACTATTATAGAACAAGTATAGTTATTAAATTTTCAATAAAAAGAGCCGAATTAACTGGCATTTTTTAAAATTGATTCGGGCCTCAGGAAAATGCTTAGCGGGCCGCATGTTTGACATGGCTGTGCTAGAGAAACAAATTTACTGCCAGGTAATAAAAGGCTAGTCGCGGCAGTAAATATGTATTTACCTGCATAGTTAAATAAATAGCTATTTTTTTTATTAATACTTCAGTTATATTACCCTCAACTAAGAATATGGTTGCTTATGTTATGTTAATTACGTTACATGTTTCGATGAGTTTTGGTCGCAACAGGGCCGGATGTCGGACCGCAACTCGGATACTTTTCTGGCCGCGGAACACAAGTCGGCACTTTCCCTATCATCTCCTTAACTAATCTGACATGATCCAAGCATTAATCTTTGGAATTTTGGTATGGTGATGAAACTCCTTTCTACAAGTCTTTTTTGCATTTTATTTTAGATTGATGGCTGAAGATGAAGAGGGTTACAGGAAACTTATCGATCAAAAGAAAGACAAACGTTTGGCATTCTTGTTGTCACAAACCGATGAATATATAAGTAATCTCACTGAGATGGTAAAACAACATAAGCTGGAACAGACTAACAAGAAGAGAGAAGAAGAAAGGCGTAAGAAAAAACAACAAAGGATGCAACAACCTGACAGAAAAGTTATTGTCATAGAAAGTGCTACAGGTAAAAAACTTCAAGGGGAAAGTGCTCCTACATTTAGAAATGTACAGGAATGGCTACAACAGCATCCTGGATGGGAAATGGTTGATACTGATGATGAAGATGAAGGTGAAAGGAATAATGATGATGATGACAACAAGGATGGTAATGCTAAAGATGTCATTAAGAAAGCGAAGGTAAATTACTATATAATATTTAGTTTTTTTAACAAACGGGAGAATCCTATTAGAAAATTATGTAACAAATTTCATTATTCTCTTACCTAACAATTAAAAATTATTGTTATACTTCCCTTATCTTCGTTATTACTTGAGATATCTGAATAATTTTTTTGTTTGAAAGCTTTGAACAATTACTTTTCATCATGTATTCAATTATTCTCTAACGTTACGGCTTACTTCCGTTTTTTCGGAAATAACAATAAATCCCAATTTATTCTTTATTTTTTAGTGGAAACTTCCATTTTTTATTGATAATTTGAATTTCTCTGACATTTGGATAAGAATCGTGTATGAATAATTTTCTGTTATATGTCAAAATGGCCGTCATATTAGATATTATTTTTAATTATGTTACTGTTAACTTGTTTAAGGAGATAAAATTGGAATTTCTAACCCAGCCATACTCAACCTGCGGGCCGCATGCGGCCCTCCAGACTTTTGCGGCCCGAAATACTACTAAGAAGGTACTTTTTAAAACTATAAATTTCTATATTTAAAATCTTGAGCGGAATGCACAAAAACATTAATTATTCACTGCGCTAAATATCACGCTAATTTTTAAATAAACATTTGGAATCCATCGGGTTACTGCAAAAACAAGATAACTCACATTTTTGGAGTTTCAAAAAAAAACGCCGTTCAAAAGTTTAAAATTGACTAGAAAATCAGAAAAAGCTTCAAAATGTTTAATAAACAATAACTCCAATGAAAAAAAGGTATTCAAAACATAATTAGTCTTCACAAATTATAAACTAAGAATTCATCGATTGATAAAAAAAGTCACTTAGCTTATTTTAGCTGTCTACATACAGGTCATAATATTCAATGTATGTGTCACTATCTTAAGTGGAAGATTCAGGTACCGTGTCTTTAACTTTATTGAATACAAGTAGATTGTGATAATAACGGTAAAATTTATCACGTGTAGAACCTCATTTGCAAAGTTTTAATAAATCTTTCTTGCACCTTTTGTAAGTTTTTTCAAAGCGGTTTTTTTTTTCTCACCCTTTCAAGCATGTCTATTGGTCTTTGAAGATTAGCTGTATCGCGGAAGGGTGACGTAATCACCTTGTCGTTTTCGGAACAATCGAGGAAGGCCAGAGACGGCTCTAGGCAAAACTTAATAAATGGCTTGGGCAAAATGTTGAAGTATTTCAACAAATACATTCAACAAAAATAAGTGTTCTGGACTTAATCTTGTTTTGCCAGAAATATATACTATTAGGAATCACAATAAATACATTTAACAAAACAAGTTATATGTCTCTTATCTGGACACACTATTAGCAATTGAACACAATGTTATGATCATGTTTCAGTATAAATGTCACTCATCTTGTTTGTGCATATTTTGAATGTATTACCTTGTCGTTTTCGGAACAATCGAGGAAGGCCAGAGACGGCTCTAGGCAAAACAAAATAAATGGCTTGGGCAAAATGTTGAAGTAATTCAACAAAAATAAGTGTTCTGGACTTAATCTTGTTTTGGCAGAAATATATACTATTAGGAATCACAATAAATAAATTTAACAAAATAAGTGATATGTCTCTTATCTGGACACACTATTAGCACTTGAACATAATGTTATGATAATTTTTCGGTATAAATGTCACTCATCTTATTTGTGTATATTTTAAATGGATTAATATGGAGTTAGTTTTTATTGGCCATCTGTTTATCAAAGATATAGACTTCGTTCCACTTGCCTTGTTTATACTGTATATTATTTTAACTATTTTGTAGACGAAAGTGTACTTAACTCAAAAATGCCAAAAGTGGAGTTATCGTATTTTTGCAGTATCCCATCAATATATTTATGTCCTGTGTTTTATTTATTAGAGATCCCCACTAATTTTAAATGGATGGCCTGAAAAAGGGTCATTATACAAAACAAAAAACTGGCCCGTGTAACATAGCAAACATACGAATGTGGCACGAATGAAAAAAAGGTTGAGTATGGCTGGTCTAATCCATACATTAGGAGAGTGAATAGTTGGGGAACTCAGTGGTCAAATTCTGAGGCGATGTGCTGCCATCTATCAAATTGGAGTGCTATAAATTTAATATGGTCACTAGGGGCGGGCTTTCTGCAATTGAACTTTCTGCTCGTTAGGTAAAAATATAATGAAGAAAATCAAACAAAAAATTAATTGGTTTATTTTGTCTATTTTCGAATCATAAAACAATATTTGCCAATTTATATTATTCGCTGTATATATTTGCATTAATTTCAAAATTTATATAAAATTATTTTATTTAATAAATTTGTTATTACAGCAAATTATATATGATTTGCCCATTTTAACATGGTAATGTTCAGACAAATGTGCATTTACACAATTTAAATAATTAATATTTATAAAACAAACCAATCAAAAATGTTTTCTGTAACAAAATCAGCATGTATAGCGTTCAAGATTTTTTCAGAGTTATGCAACTTGGAGTGGCAACTAAGTTTGAAAGAACTAAAGTCGAAGTATCGTCCTTTAGGTGTCTTACTATTAAGGTTGGAAAACGGTTCTTCATCGGATATTTTTTATTGATTTATTTGTGCACCACTTGTAATTTTCCAAATTCTTATTCATCCTCTGTGCATTGTGGTAAATGAATCTAGCTTTCGGGCTTAAAGAAAACTTGCTCATGTTTGGACCCTTGAAGATTTTGGGGTATAGTTTTCTTGTTCGATGTCAATGGCATTGAATTAATTTTTGATGTTGATGGGTGAGACTCACAGATTTCAGCGATGGACAGGGTATTTTGAGAGTCAACATTTTCTTTACAAAAATAATGATCATTAAACACTGAAAACAAAAAGAACTTAAAATAACACAATATTATTTTAACACTGAATCAAAAACAAGTTTGTAAATAGTATTTACCATTGGCGCAAAACAATATGAGAACTGCATTTTTCTTAGATGATTGATCCTAATTTTTTGGTTATCCTTAAAAATGACCAAATATTCAATATGATGTATAAATTGCATTACTACCAACATCTGTGAGTGCTTTATTGTGGGTTGCTGAAATCTATCTTTTGAAAAGATGCTTAAATTTTGAAGGTAGTGAAAATATATCTAAGTGTATAAAAATCCAAGGCACCTTCAACTGCAACATGCATTTTAATTTAATTCTTGAAGCTTTACTTTTGCACGAACTGACTGTGACAACTGTCATTTCGACACAAGCACAATCCCGTTAATACGCTAGTTCGGTGTGATGTCATTTTGGTTCCACTGACATTTAATTCAAACCAAACTTTTAACGAAAACCTCAATAAATTTGACATATACGTTTTTACTGTTTTTAGTTTATTTCTAAATATTTTTTATAGGTCATAAAAAATAATTTAAAGGTATGTAATTGGTAACTAAACGATTGTATATTTGGTGCATATTATCTACTTTAGATATTTATTTAGGTAGACAAAACGAACAAAACGCACTCAAAAAATCTACTGTCACTTTAATTATCAGTGGAACCATAATTACATCATCACTGAATTAGCGTATTGGAGTGGTACCAAATGATTTTCCTCGAGTTTTTCCATTTAAGTTGATGGTCTCACTTTTAAAACGTGTGTGTATGCCTCAGAGTTCCCATTGAGACCCACCTAAACTACACCAATGGTGTATCTATGCATTTTTGTTATTGGTAAATGCTTAAAAAAAGCAAGCTCTATTAATAATTGAGATATCAGAATAAACTTTTATTTAACAATAATTAATAACGCAGATAAGGAGACGTGGAAGTTCTACATGACACCACTAATTTATTTATTTATTTTACGGGAAGACACCATTACAAATAAAAAATATGTATAAATTTAAAAACAAATTTTACGTTTGAATTAACAGGAAAAATAAACTATGTAGTACATATTATCAAAAATAAAAATATAAACATCTCCGTGAATTGAAACGTTACAAACTAAGACACATTAATTACATCTATTTATACACACCCTAACTATAATCTTATTTCTCTTTTTATAAAAGTTTTAAATGACTCTAGACTTATTCCAAACATTTATAAATAATTCATGTTGGACAATTGATTGTTTATTTACATTCACCAATTCTAACAGCTCAGAGCATCTAAATATACCGTTTAGAAGTTAAAACAAATAAGAGGTCATAATATTTTCTGAGTAATTCCAGTGGATATAAATCCAGGGATTGCAAAATGTCTGTATAATCATGGTCTATAATAATTGTAAATCGTAAGCTTATATCCACAGTACCTCAAGAATCTATTCTGTACGCTTTCTAGGCTTTTGATATGTGTCATGTAATAGGGAGACCAAATTATAGATGCATACTCTAATAATTATAAATAGTTTGTAGCTTTTATCGAGTATTATAATTTCTCAAAACAAAGCCTAACACTTTAGAAGATAAAACAATAATGTTTTGAATATGATCTATAAAATTTAATTGGCTGCCAAACAGCACACCTGTGTCTTTAATGTTATTGACTGATATTGTCGTTTTCACTTGCAAATTATAAGATACTTGAAATTTTCTACTACATATAAAAAACTATTATGAAAAAATTTATTCACATTAAGTGCCAGTTTATTAGACATACATACCAGCCCAGTAACTATTTAATTCTTTCTGTACATCTAAATATTTTAAGATCATTTGCAAATAAATGAAATAATCGTTATTTTTTTGGAATATTCGATGCAACCTACCATTTGAATTTCTCTTTTCTTAATTTCTTCACCAATTTTTTGTATCGTATCTAAATTAACTTTACATTTACTTACATTTCTAAGTATATATTCTTCTAATTGTTTAATAGTTAATATAAATAATTTATTACTATGTTCATTATACAAATCCATCTTATTAACGTCAGGTAAACAACCATTTATGAAATTGTCCTACTTTCCTCTACACTCCATATCTTATTTACCAATATGTAAGCAATCTATATAACTATATTCATCATTGGTGCGATCTCACAACTTTTGACGCTTTCAAGAGGTATTCTGGTACAGTAACACCATATTAATTTCGTATATTTTGAGGGACACTTTTTAAAAAGAGATATTTCCCCTTACCTCTACACTCAATATGTATTTCTTATAAATTTGAATAAAGTCACTCAATTTAGGTATCTTGAGCCAATCATAAGCAGTGTTGGAGATATATATTTATGTAAACATTTCTGGATATCAAAAATTTATGATTTCATAATTTAAATCGCCTGTAAGATTTAGGGTTAACGGCTGCATGGATACAATGAAAGCGAATCACTGGAATACTCGGAGATCTCTGAAAAACATTCCATCTGAAACCAAAAATCTCTAAAACCTCCCTACGTTCTATTCAATTTTATTGCTTTGAACATCATGCTAAATCATGTCAGAATTACAGGTAACGAATAGGGTTACCCCAATCTCAGGAAAAAACAAAACTGTGATGATATGGGCATCGTACATAAACAAGACTGGTAGAATAACTAGGGCAGAAGCAGACACTGAAATTCTCTCTACCCCATCTAAAAACCAGCTTATTTCAAGTAGGTGATGTTAGCTCTGTCAGTTTTTATATGTTTCATAAGAGGGACGGCCAACGCCCATTTCGAGGGAGGTCATCGGCGTTTGGCTACAAAATAATGTTGAAAGAAGGCGATAAGCTAAAAACTAAGTCACCTTACTACTTATTTTGTGAACGATGGTATGGGTAACCAAAAATGCATTACTCCTCAGACTCCCATAGAAAAGATGGTTTGACTGCTTTAGTGAAGGTGTAGTTACTGAAACATTTGATCAGACTAAATAAGTAGATGACCATGCAGAAGAACTGACCTTTCTTTCAACAAGGCGTTAAAAATGCTAATAACAATATGATTTTAAAAAAAGATGTGTCTAAATGTTCTATATTTGTATTTAAGCTTGAAGATGATGAGTATCACAAAAACACAACGGAAGAACAAACTTATTATAGCATTGCCCATACAGTCCATGAAGTGGTAACAGAGCAAGCAACTATTATGGTTAATGGTTATCTAAAAGAATATCAAGTCAAAGGATTAGAATGGATGGTCTCACTATACAATAACAATCTAAATGGTATTCTCGCAGATGAAATGGGTTTGGGTAAAACCATTCAGACAATTGGTTTAATTACACATTTGATGGAAAAGAAAAAACTTAATGGACCATTTTTAATTATTGTGCCTTTGTCGTAAGTAACTCTTGAATAATTTGTTAGTTAAATCATTTCTATCATTTAGTTTTAGTTTCTTGTTTCATGTATTTTTACCCAATACCATTAGTAAGATTAAATATACTTTTTAATGTCTACAAAAATAATTTTTAGCACAATTTCCAATTGGATGTTAGAATTTGAAAAGTGGGCACCTACTGTTGTAGTTGTATCCTATAAAGGTTCTCCAGGTGTTAGAAGAATTATTCAAAGTCAATTGAAAGCTGCTAAATTTAATGTATTGCTGACAACGTATGAGTATATAATTAAAGACAAAGGTATCTTGGCTAAGGTAAGTACTCAAGAAGACATGTTTAACTATTAGTGTTATTGAAATAAATGTACATAGTAAAGGTGATAAGAGTGTATGACGTCCAAATACGAATGGCACAAATTTTAGCGTACATTTTCTAAAATTTAAAAATTGGCCAATTTAGGTACCCCTTTTCCCAATAATATTCTACTCTTGTTTGTTAAATCAACCTATACAGTAGCGTTAACCAAAACATCAAGAAAAATAAAGATGAGACAAGCCTATTTGGACGTGAGAGGTATAAAGTAAAGTAATTTGGTTTAACTATGTCCTTTTGATAGCAAGGAAGGGATATTGCGGTCTGCAGTCGACAATGTCTATTCAATAGTTCAAAAGTTAACTTATGTTTGTTTTGTCGCGGGATCATTACAAAATGTTTGAGAAATATTTCTAAATTAAACATAGGTACTCATCCAACATTGTGAAACTTTCTAAATAGTCAAATATACAGTAAGATAAAAATATGAATGTGTATATGTATTTTAGTACATTTTTAACGAAAACAAAACATATCTTAAGAATAAGAAGGTTATCCATATCTCAAATGTGGTATATCCATAAAGAAAAGGAAAAACTCAAAGTCTTGACCACAAAATGTTTTTATTTTTATTCAAAACAAGGGAAAAACGACTAGTTTCGGTCAGTGACAATCATCAGGCCTGTAAAGCTTAATTTATAACCGCCGTAACGTAACTTAAGAACTTAACGTAAGAAGTTGAAATATTGAATTTACGTATACTTATTTATAATGTTCGTAACGTAACTTAAGAACTTAACGTACCGTAGAAAGTTCGCCAACTTTTAACTTAAGACCTTACGGTTAGCCAATGAGATAATTCTGAGTTCAGCATGTGATAACTGTCAAATTATTCTATTTTTATTTTTGTTTATAAATGAATAGACAAATACCATTTGTAAACTATCATTCTCTTTTTCGATGGACATACATTATCATGAATGATTTGTGTTTATGTTATTGGGGATAAACTATTTATGAGATATGAGTGTTGCTGCATATGCCTATAAACATCAAGTCTAGAACTGAAATAAGACACAAAACTAGTTTGCTAGGAAAGATTAAATTCTCATTATTGCTCAAAAACAATCAACATCTTCGGTAAACTATTCTGTTTTATTATATTTTTATATTATTGCTTTAAAAGTAGTTAATATATTCTTTCTATATAGCAACATCATACTTTATAAGTTTTATTTTAGAGGTTAGGTACATAGTTTACACCAATGACATATATAATTTAAATAGACTGCTTATCCATACGTAAATAAAACGATGAAAAGTGGGTCGAACTGGGAGATGTTTTCTCTTTGTCTAGTGCATGCAATGTTTGTGTTTTGTCTCAATTTTGAGTGCTCACTGGTAAACAAACCTTTCACAGGACCGGTTTTAAAGAAAGTTTAGTCTAGTTGAGATTTTGTTCTCATTGTCATTACTCAGTCGGACATTTTGTTGAATTGTTTATTTTATTTAGTTTTAATTATACTTATGTTCTGTTTTAAGTTTTTTAATTATTTGAGTATAAAAACTTGTTTTGTTTTTAAATTTAAATGGTGAATTTCTCTATAAAGGTTTGTAAGACCAGCTATAGAAATATAAAAAGTAACATTTCATTTTTCACGCAAGTATCAATACAAGTAGGTACAAGGTAAATACGTTTATAATAATTTTACGAATTATAATTAATTATAATAATAATATTAATAATAATAAAGTATTTATTGTAAATACAATTACATAAATATTATTATATTCAAAGGCCCGAGTTTACAAGTACATTTTAAAAGTTAGTTAGATACAGAGAAGTATCGTATAATAAAAACTCAATATAAATAGAAGAAAAACGGACATAAGTACCAATACAGAGAGACAAACACTTTTATTCTTTGATAGGTTCTTTCTATGTGAATTCTAGCTCTGGCAATTTTGGCATTAAGTAAAGCCTCTTGATGGCTGAACTGATTTTTTTATTGAGGAAAGGAGGCTGTATAATTTGTATACCTTCAGCTTCTGTTATGTTTCCAATAAGAAAACATTTGTTAAGCATTTTACTATCGAGAAATGATTCACACACTTCAAGTATTGAACTTTGTTAAAAAATGTCTATTTCTGAAGTTTACCACCATATGCTTCACTTTTGTAAGTAATGAGACCAGTAGGTGACACTCCAGTCAATATTTTAATAGTATGCCTCTTTTTGTAGTCAGAGTAATTTTTTAGCCTACAACAAAGACATTTGGCTTGCTGTATTGGGATTTCGGTACAATCAAGTAGTAGTACTCTTATTTACATAGAGGCACATTATTTAATATTTCTTGTTTTGAAGGCCGAATTATACCATACTAAGAACTTCTACCAGTTTTATTAAAAACTGTTAAAAAATTTAACGATAAAAAGTTTCATTCGCTCCAAATAAAATGAATAAGACATTATATCTTGCATATCAGTTTTCAACTTCATAAAAGTAAATATAACTTGATCCTTTACAGACATAACTGATCTCCTTTTTCCTATTCTTTAGAAACAACTCTGCTACTAATTCCACAATGGTGGCTAATAACTGGAAGGATTGCAATCCTATTAAAGTAGATAGTTCTTTAGCACTAACAATTCTGTTTGAAAACGGATCAACTAAATCACCACTCTTCACTTGTGTTGAACAATCGATCCCAATTTTCTGCTTTTAAACAAAGTTTTGTAAATTAAGCAAAGCTATTCAGCAGCACACAAATCTTCATTATCTGCTTCAGTAGTAGATATATGTTCATTAACTGCAAAAACACATTAAACATAATAATAATAATTAACCAAACATTTTAAATTATGCATACGTACATCCATTGCCTGAAGAAGATAACTCAACACTTAACATTCTACTAGTACTGGCAACATATCATTATTAAAGACAGTAGCCATAATTCTTGTTTTAGCTGGATTACTATCTTTTTATTAATAGTCGCTTTCTTTTTACCACTAATCTGAGCTAACTTACATCGACTAAAGCCTTGGTTTCTTTGAACACTTCGTCGCGGTGAGCGGCGTCAACCGTCGCGTTTTGACGATTTTATCCAACCAGAGTATTTAAATGGGAATGGTTTTCTTGAATCCGCTTAGCTGAGCAGGACGACGTCATGCCTCTGATTTGTCGCGAAGAGTCGGTTGATATCTGTTGAGTTTGATATCAGCGGAATCGTCGGCGTGTGCGGAGACTATATTGTTATTAATTTTAAAACAATGAGTGACAAATTCACACATAGATGACATCATGACTTAATTTTTAGGTTTCTTGGAAATTATGTCCTTTATAAAACTCAACACGAATTCAAAAAGATCTGTAGAAAGTCTAAAATACTCCCTAAATTTGGTTTCATTTCTAAAAAGCCTCCGCTGCACAGTGATATTAAAGGCACCTTCTGTATCGCGACACAAAAACAACTCATCCACTGGCTTATTGGAAACTGACGGTTGCAATTGCCAGTTCCTCTTGTTCTTCCTCTTCCAACAATAATAACGCAAACAATTTATTTGCATCCATTTTAGTACCTTTCGTTTACATTCATAATACATAAACAGCACGTACAGACATAGAGAAAGTATCATTTTCTATATTTTTTAACAAACCACCTCGGGCGAAAATTGCTGTCCTCAGCGGTCGACGGACTGTCCGCTCACCGCGACGGAGTGTTCAAAGAAACCAAGGCTTAAGCTTAGTTGTACGTTCTTTTTGTGATTGTAAGTCAGAATCTTTATTTCCCTCTTACCGATGCTAAGGTACACGGATCTTGAAGTCAACTAAGATTGCACTTTGTACCTAGTCCATTTTACTATGATGTTGATCAGATTTCCACTGGTGGAATTTTATTATTATTCATCAAATCATTCACATTCACCGCCAAAATAATCCTTAATTGTCTAAAGGGACAAACTTTAGAATGTGAAAAAGCTACTAACTTTAAATCTTTAAAAAGTTCATTCAATTTTTGCATAATATCTGCTTTTATAATGCGAAATAAATTTTAAAAGAATAATCAAGTGTCCGAATAGTGCCACTATACAGTAGTCATGGTCTAAAGTTAGTTATATACACATGAGTGTAAAATTGTTTATATCTATGTTCAAAATTGGTTAGATCTCTTAAAATGTTTTGAAAATTGGGAAACTAGACGTTACGACTCAAAATCCTTTTTTAAAATACCTAACGCAAGCTCCTGTCTTGAAATAAACATACAGATATTTTTTTTTTTTAATTCAATTCCTACTTTGATGAAATATGTGTTTTAAACTCATTTGGGCCAGACCGATTCTGCCTGGTGAGCACTCGGCAAGCCAAGCAATATGACCCGCTTTTCGTCGTCTTGTTTATATATGGATGAGCAGTCTATTAATCTATATATGTCATTGGTTTACACTTGTTTATTTCATAAGGTTGTCAGTAATTTGATAATCTCTTAAATCAACACGCATGCTCAACTCTTACGTTACGGACATTTATAAATAGACTTAATTTTTGTATCTTAGGTTAAGTTTCTACGGCGTTGTTACGTTACGGTGGTTATAAATTATACTTAAGAGAGTATGTTGATAAAACTTAATTTGATTATAAGTGAAAACATATCTTAACAATGTGTTAATGATACATGAGAATAAGAAATTTACAAATTAAAATGTGTTAAGACCATTAGAATACCACCTTAGAATTTGAAGAGCTGACGGAGACTACAACAATAAAAAAATGGTTTGGTTAAGACTTAAGAGTTTTTTTCATTTTCATTAATGTATCTTAAGACTGAAAAGACTGCATTATAATAATTAATTATTTTAATTTTTTTAGTTATTATCATCTTTGCCAAGAATCCCATACTATATAGTTATATTATTGTTAAAGTGTTTTTAGAACAATACTTGTTCTATAATATTTGTTGTGTAAACGTTCTTAAAGCAAATTATAGGTCTTAAAATTGTTACTTGGTATCCTTTAGTTCAATTTTAGTAAATGACATTTTACAAAAATGCTTTTTTAAAAGACGAACAAATAACACGAAATTTTCCTCAACACAAAAGAGCGAATTTGACAATAACGCCATAAAACAACATGTGGATAAATGTACGCAAGACAAAGCCTGCCTAATCTAAACATATGCTATGCTACTACATTATCAGGATTCAAATCAGTTATCTAGATAGAATAAAGTAGAGACGACTTAAACAATATTTAGCAATGTGACAGATGGACGCACTTCGATCGACGGAAAAGTGTAATGAAAATGGCGACTTGAGTCGTACTTTGATTTATATGAAGTCAATAATTTTTAATTTGAAGACTGACCGAATTAAAATGATTTTATATCATATAATGAAGTTATTTAAAAAAATATGGTATTTATTCTCACCAAAACTGACTAGCTCTACTATCTCGAGTTTGACATATATGATTTAAAAGTGTAATGCAAAGGTGCGGACACTTTAGCATCGTCATAGCATCTCCTCTTTATTCTGTCTCAATGAGATCAGTGTTGCAGCCGGTTGCAGTCTGTTACAATTATACTACTAGAGCTAATACATTCGTAAGGAATTTATTACGTTATAGTACACTTGAAGCGAAATCTAGTACCTTATTCCTGGCCGTGCAGGGAATATGCAGCAGCGTGTACTTGCTCGTTCCCAAGCGAAGTCGGGGTTCTGTGCAGTATAGAAATGATCAATCCCACTATTTGTTTCTAATTTAGGTTCTTTTCATAAAATTCCATAAAAATAACAAACATTATATGCAACTGTTCTTGAAAATTGAAATCTTTCCATATTTTTACTTGACTTTTTGTTGCAATAAACGGTCTGAAAATCATGTGCAGTTGTCACAAAAAAAGGACAGTATGGAATTTAAGCAACAGGCTATATCAACAGATATGCAGCGCATGCCCAATTTAGAATAATATCACATTTATTTTTCATAAGAATTTTAAATAATGCTTCTGAGTAGATCTAAATAAATAAATATTTTCTTTTTGTATTTAGATTCCTTTTAAATACATGATCATTGACGAAGGACATCGTATGAAGAACCACCATTGCAAATTGACACAGGTCCTTAATTCGCACTATCTAGCGCCATATCGATTGCTTTTGACAGGTACTCCGTTACAAAATAAACTTCCGGAACTGTGGGCGTTGCTCAACTTTTTGTTGCCTTCAATCTTTAAAAGTTGTTCTACATTTGAACAATGGTTTAATGCCCCATTCGCTACTACTGGAGAAAAGGTATATCATTTGAAATATACTGCTTTGATTTTAACTTATTCAATTTATTCACTGTTTTTAGGTAGAGCTAAATGAAGAAGAAACTATTCTTATCATTCGTCGTTTGCACAAAGTACTTCGTCCTTTTCTACTGAGACGTTTAAAAAAGGAAGTAGAATCGCAATTGCCGGATAAAGTAGAATATATAATTAAATGTGATATGTCTGGGTTACAAAAAGTTCTCTATCAACACATGCAGAGTAAAGGAGTGCTTCTTACTGACGGTTCAGAGAGGGGTTCCAAAGGAAGGGGTGGATCAAAGGCGCTTATGAATACCATTATGCAGTTAAGAAAACTTTGCAACCATCCATTTATGTTCCAGAATATCGAGGAAAAATATTGCGACCATGTTGGAATTGCAGGTGGAGTTGTTTCGGGACCTGACACGTACAGGTAATAATCGATTTTTATTAATAAATTATGAAAAATGTCCGCATATCATCGTGATTTTCCGATAACGATATTAAAATTTATAAATTTGTTAATAAATCACTACTAAAAACAACTTATAACTAAATATATATTTATAACAATTTGGAAATCTTAAAATGAACACCCCAATTTCCCCTACTAAACTAAGGAACCCATTCTTACACCCCAATGTGAAAACAAACCAAAGAAAATTGAAAAAACTGATTTAAAAAAATGTGCACCACAGTTCCTTAAGTTTACACCTCACTTTTTTACCAAATAGGCCACTGAATCGTATAGCTATGAAAACCGAATCAGTAATTTGAAGATATCAAATTCCGAATCTAGTCAGTACACACATTTCCACCTATTTCCCGCAATTTTCTTCTAAGCTGCTATGCATCATCGGTATAAAAGACGTCACATATTACGTGTACTCACATACTTTGATTTTCTTTTACTATACGGAGAATGGTCGCACTGCGCAGCTGAGTGCCTTTTAAAAGGAGATAGAAAACTCCGCCATTTTGAACCTTTATTACGTGTTGCCTACATCTTGGCGCAATATTTTTAATAGGTGCGTTTTAATCATCCGCTTCTGCTTCGGAATTGTCGGTTTTCTTGTTTTAATCTGACAGGTTAGAACGACTGAACCGACAATTCCGGAAGCAGAAGCGGATGATTAAAACGCACCTGATATTTTGCTTGCTGCTGTCAGTGTCAGTGAATATTATTTTTGGAGTCACAATTTATTGCTAAAGAATCAGTTAGCTCACTCGGACCAGTTGAAAGTTCCAAAATAACATCCACTCCAGGAATACAAATTCAGGATACGCAGAAGACTGCTGTTTTATTATAGGCGGTTGTCATATATTGTATTATCCAAGTTGCGAAGTGTATAAACTGGAACATTGAGATAAAAAGTGCCGACGCAGAGTGAGCGATCTGATTCTTTAGCTATAAACTGTGTCATAGGGTTCAAAATGGCCGCGCCCTATGTTGGGCGTGTCGGACCTCTCTCTTGCCCCGTATAGTAATCAAAGTATGTGCGTGTACTAGAATAAAACGTAATCTTTCCTTCGTCTACTCGTGTCAAGTTTTCCTGTACAGTAAACGCCGTAGACGTAAGGGTAAGGAAGAAGGTTAGCGTTTTTCATGTTGGTGTTGCATAATGGCTTAGACAATTAATAGAGTGTACCGATTATATTCAAATTGCCCAATGACCAACTACTACTAGACCAATTTTGTTTACAAAAACCGAATTGCAAGCATTCATGGTGTCATTCACGTAGTTGCCAAATTCTTACGGTAGAGTCTATATACATGAATTGTTAATAAATTTATGCTTATAATTTGGAATTTACTTAACATAAGGCTCTAAAATGCACAAAACGCTTTCAATATTACATTAAGGAAGTATATTTGCATTCTTATTGCCAATTATTACCAATTTAATGTATGATTGTAGCTGAAGGGGATTTTCAGGAAAGATTACTATTTATTTTGCAGTGTGGCAATATGAACGGTCTTATTTAAACAAGTTAATTGAATCAATGGTTTATAATTTTTCCTCTTTTCTTTCCTTTGCTGTGTATAACAACCTATTTATTAGTTTGTAATTTAGGTCAAATAAAGAACTGAGACACAATAGTCAAAATGAGGTTAGATTATATTTTTGTATATAGTAATTTAAGCCTTAGTTAAGTTTTATTTGTCTACATTATTAAACAAATGGATAAATTTAAACTTTCCTTTCTAGAGTATCTGGAAAATTTGAACTATTGGACCGAATATTACCTAAACTAAAAGCTACAGACCATCGTGTATTGCTTTTTTGTCAAATGACACAATTAATGACTATAATGGAGGATTATTTTAATTGGAGAGGTTTTAAATACTTACGTCTAGATGGTACAGTTAAATCGGAAGACCGAGGGGAACTGCTGAAAAAGTTTAATGAAAAAGATAGCGACTATTTTCTATTTTTACTTTCTACAAGAGCAGGAGGTTTGGGTTTGAATTTACAAAGTGCTGATACTGTTATTATTTTCGATTCTGATTGGAATCCTCATCAGGTATTTTAAATATATTTTTTTTAGTTACCTACCAATTTATTAATAATTTTCTTGTATACAAATACTAACTTCTGCGTTTAAATTTCTGTTATGACACTTAAAATATCAAATATTGTAGGTGAGGGTTTAAAAAGTTAATTTATTTAGCATTAATAACTGCAATTCACATAAAACACAAAACTGAAACGATTATTGATAATCAGAAACGATGAATTCCAGGGACAAATGATTTATATAATAAAAACACAAGTCTTGACGTGAAATTAAGAACGATCTGAGTTTTGCAGACTTAATTGTGAAACTCTTAAAACAATATATTATATTAGAGCGAGATATAATTATGCAATGTCTTTAGGGTTGAGGGCTCTTGCATATTTCCTATCATCTTGTTACACTATATATATTTTTACTCTTTGAATGTATTTTAATATTTTGTCAATGTAAAAATATATTTGACATTGTTATCTGAATCTTAAAAATTAAACATTTTTTTTTAGGATTTACAAGCTCAAGATCGTGCTCACCGTATAGGACAACAAAATGAAGTCAGAGTTTTACGTCTAATGACTGTGAATTCTGTTGAGGAGCGTATTCTTGCTGCTGCTAAGTACAAGCTTACTATGGACGAAAAGGTAATTCAAGCCGGTATGTTCGATCAAAAATCAACTGGTTCCGAGAGACAGCAATTCCTGCAAAGTATTTTACACAACGACGGTAGCGACGAAGAAGAAGAAAACGAGGTTCCTGATGACGAAACAGTGAATCAGATGATAGCAAGAAGCGAAGATGAATTCCAACTTTTCCAAAAAATGGATTTGGAACGAAAAGATGAAGAAGAAAAACTTGGCCAGCATAAAAAATCTCGTTTAATTCAAGAAAGCGAACTACCTGATTGGTTAACCAAACCAAACGATGAAGATGATACATGGGGTTATGATGATAATGATGCTTTCCTTGGAAGAGGGTCTAGGCAGCGAAAAGAAGTTGATTATGGTGATAGTTTGACAGAAAAAGAGTGGTTAAAAGTAAGAAAACAATCCTTTAAATAACAATCCCTTCAATAAATCACTAGGTTTGGCAGTATTGCCAGGGAGCTTACTCATTGTGTCATATTCTGGAGCTAATTGCCACTTTAACATGTTTGACGTATGAGATATTGTTATTAATTCTTTATAATTATTCATCTACCTTCTCAATCTTCCTTCCTACTTTTTTGTTTTCTTCTACGAACTAATAGTTTCTTACTCCTTATAGCATACCTAAGTATTGTCATTTTTAACCTCCCTATCATCAGCCAATAAACATTGGGTAGTTATTGTAAACACTCCAAAATTTGAATTTGAGAAAACACCAGATCTTTATTTTATTTTATAAAACGTGTGCTCACACAGACCATCTATAGTCAATTTAGTAGATGTCTCGCTCTTTCTAATGCAGCAGCCTAAGCGGCAGTCTTATGAATAAACGGATTAATCTATTAGTTGTTCGTTATTGATTCAGTTCCATCTTATGCATATATTTCCCTGGCATCCAAGGTATAATAACTTGTTCAAACAGTTTTCATTTATCTGATCTTTCTTTGTTTTTCTCTTTGGCTAGTAATCATATTTTGTTTTATCTGTATTTAGGGATATTATGAGTTTTTGTTTTAGTAAAGCCATATGATCTAACCTAGTGTTTAATGGGTAATTGCTTATTTAATTGAATCGTCTAATTTTCTCACTTTTTCCTTTTATATTTAATAATTATGTGTTCATTATAATGATACCTTTGTTCTTATCTTTATAATTTTTAAATGCGTTCCGTAATATTTCTCTATTAACTGTAACAAGAACAGCCTTCAAAACTATGACAAGAAATATGTAGTTGATTTTTTCTACTGTTTATTATTTCTATTTTAGCTTCTCTTTCAGCTCTATATGATGTTCCCTTCGCTGTAATGCTTTTACACAATACCTCCATATTATTATTATTTTTTAAATCTCGATATCATTTTTTACTTTTTGTAGTTTATTAGCCTAAAAACGTTTCATTTGAAATATTTCTAAAATTCCTTGAATCTAATTCATGTATTAAATTTCTTTAAATATTTCAAATTAAATTTCCAGAATATTACAATTAGAAAAATTCATTTTCAGGCTATTGATGAAGATGGCGATTACGATGACGAAGAAGAAGAGGAGAAAGAAAAGGAAATAAAAAAGAAAAAAGGAAGAAAACGAAAGAAGCGCGACGATTCAGATGAGGAAGGTAGCGGTTCAACGAGGAGAAGGAAGTTGCCGCAAAGTCAGATTGAAGCACAACTAAAGAAAAAAATGAAGAAGCTCATGACTGTTATTATTAACTATAAAGATAGGTTCGTTGCAACAAATTATTCAAAAAACTCTTTTAGTTTGTTAATTAATGTAACCAAATATAATTTTAGAGATGGAAGGCAACTTAGTGATCAATTTATTAAACTTCCTCCGAGGAAAGAGTATCCCGATTATTACACAATAATTAAAAAGCCCATGGATATAACCAAAATTTTAAATTACATCGATGATGGCAAGGTAATAAACATTTTTCTGAATTGTTTTAAATAGCAATTAAAAATAAATTGCATGTCGTTTCTAAAAGTTATTTTGTTGACAAAAAGCTACCGTGGTTGATAAATATAATTTTGAAATTAAGTAATCTTATTAGGGAATATTTTTATAAGAAATGGTCTTTGCAAACCACACACAGTACTGCTTTTTGTGTGTGGATTATTAATTGAAAAGTTAAATAATGTATGGTTATTAAGCTTCACTTAATTAGGATGCAATAATTAAGAAAAAGAAAGCTTTTGCATGATGTATAATAGTAAAGAGTTACCTACAAAATATGTTTCTAAAGTTGGCCATGACCAACAAAGACAGAAGGTGAGCTTAAGGTTTTACTTCCGTTACTCCGAGAGTGCAATGACAATTGTCAGTGTGATATACCTGTACTTAAAACTTAATCATACTTATCGGTAACAACCTTATTAGTTTCTTCCCTATCCATGGTAGTCACGGATCACAAAATAAAAGCTTTGTTTATCTATTTTTTAGTGACAATTATGTTATCGATTTAAATAATCTTAGGCGCATACTCCATTCACACTCCACTATCACCAAAAGCTCAAAAATAAACTTATCTCCTTTTGTCTCGAACGCACTTTAGGACCAAATATAATGAAAAGAGATGTGACACTTAAAAAGAAGAAATGTATGCTCAGACATGCCTGGATTTCTCCAAGGTCCACTTTATAACATTTTTTGTGACACTCCATTAATCTAGAACCTAGAACTAAGTAAAGTTTTGGTAAATACTCGAGGATCTTCCAGGTGGAAATTTAAGCCATTTGAAAATGTGTCTAGTTCAACATTGATAAAAACTATCACGCGATAAAGTGACAGCCTCAAATCTGCTTGCGATTAAGCTTATTTGATATAGAACACTATGAATTTTTAGGGGGAGGATTTTTTCTCATTCATTTATTAAGTCAAAAATATATGATACATTTTGTTATATAATACTAATAATAGTAAAAGATTTTCTTGGAAAAAAACAAAATACAGAGAAATATAATACAATATTTGCCAAAAGACAAAGTTAGGTCCAATCCTTGCAAGCAAGGGTAAGTCCTCTCTTCCACTCAACCTATAAATTAAAACAAACTTGGGTTATAGAAAAATATTATCTATATTAAAACAATATGGTATTAAAAGTAGAGTGGTTTAATGACTACCTAGATGATAGAAAACAAAAAGTATGATTTAAAGATCAAGTTTCTTCAGATATTACAAATAATATAGGTATACCCCAGGGTAGTGTGCTGGGTCCGCTTCATTTAATTTTGTACCTTAATGATATTGAACTTTTTGTTGAACTAAGACTTAATTATCTTATTTGCCGATGGTACATTAATGCCTTGTGAGGACAGTCAGTTAGAAAATGAATAAAGTTTAGAAAGTATTTGTGTAAAAACAAATTAAAATGAATATTTAAAAAAAATACAAGCAATGATTTTTACCACAAAACATAACCCTTAACACCTTTAATATTAACATCAATGGCGAAAAATTCAAATCGTCCCAACAGTGAAATATTTAGAATTACAACTAGAATTTGCTTGTCTCAACCTGCAAGACACTACTTTCCGGTCTTGTAACGTAAATTACTATTACCGGTCCCTAACGTCTACTTTCCGGTCTTGATCGGCAAAACGTTATTTTCTGGACGAAAAATTGTTCAGAAAGTATATTTAATTTGAACTAAACGTTTTTAAAATTAAACAAGGAAATTAACTTAAATTAAATATTATAATTTAATGGAAAATTTAGTGACTTCGTCACGAGGGTCACCTATTTGAAATAAAGATCTAATTAACAGTGTTGTATCTAAGGTGGCGCTGGGAACCTCACAAAGCCCGAATAGAACTCACATTAAGACCACAGTACCACCGTCAATATTCGTAACATGAACTAATTTTGATAGAGGTCATTTATGTGTCATAAATTAAGAATCCTTTTGTTCAGCAGATGGAGCAATATTCCATATTTAATAGTTCTTTTGTTGATGGCGTAATAATTTTATTAATTCTAAACGGTAACTGTTATAAAATAAATTCATCAACCCTAGCTACTACGCGATAATAAGTAAACGAGTTCTTGACCTTGACAAATATTTTCGATGTAACAGGTATAAAAATAAAAGTTTTGGATTAAATTCGATACATCGGTATATTTACCACAGCTTAGTGTATTTACTTAGTAGTTCATTCTTGTTTCCAGTCAACAAAGGACAAAGGTCTTCGTAACATTACGTAGGGACCACTTATACTATACATGGTGTTTCGTTAAGAATGGGACAACTGGCGATTCTCTGATTAAAAATAAGACAACTAAACAAATCATGCTTAGATAAAATGTTTCTCGGTACCGAATTACGGTGTTAAAATCCAAAAAATATTTATAGCTATATTTTTTTATTACTCACAACAATTTTACTAAATTTGGCAAACGTTTTTGGTGTCAAATTTTGGTATCAGCAAAAAAATTAGTTACCTTAATTAACTTTTCCAGTGGCGTACGGCATTGGTACGTAATACCGCATCCCTCCTAAATTGTACGTCACTATCCAAAATTTTATTTGGACATAAAATTTTAAATTTTTTGATTTTTTTAAATAAATAATGTACTCTTCTTAGAAATTTAATAAAAAAAAAATCGAAATTTAAAAATTTCTGAATTTTCAAATATGTGCGAATATCTCAAAAACTAACTCAACTTTATTTAAAAAACATCAAAAGAGGACAGTGGACTAAAATTTAGAAGGAAAAAAGATGTTACTTGCCCATGACGTACGCCACTGGCAAAGCTTATTTAACTTATTTTTTTGCTGATAGGTGTATTTTATTATACTAATAACGTTTGCCGAATTTAGTAAAATTAAACTGAGTAATAAAAAAAATTGTAGCTAGTCATAATTTTTGATTTTCAACTTTGGTTTTCGCTTTTTTTCGGAAACGGGTAATGTTTTACCTACGGATGTTTCGTTTATTCGGCTTATTTCTAATCAGTTAATCTTCAGTTGCTTCCATTCTTAATGGAATACCCTGTATATACCGAAAGGTCTTACAGCCAAAGAATCAAATAAAAAAAAAGAAAAATGTAATAAAAATGTAATAAAAAAGTGTTTTTATTACCTTATATACCCACAATACTTTATTTAGATCTGCATCAGTAAAAATTATTTTCAAAAAATTTAATCTCATTTATATGTAAGTTGGCGGCATCGGCATACGGAAAACTTTTTTAAGAATTTTAAGAAAAAAACTTATTTTTCATAAACAATTGCATGGTCTATTGATTTTAGGAAAAAAGTTACTTTGCATAAAAAGTTATGCATGGTCTAAAACCTAAAATTCAATCATCTAATAACAAATTTTATCAGTCGTATACAGGGTTGCATTTTCTGTTAGACCATGCATAAATTTTTATGAAGAATAACTTTTTTTCGTAAAATGAATAATAAAAAAGTTTTCTATTTGCTATCAAGTTACATAGACATACTGTGTGTAAGCAACTTATGACATTGCTGAGCTAATGTTTTTGTAAGAAAAAAGAAATTATTCATAAAATTTTACTTCATTTGTGGAGTCGTAATTTATGTTTTCATATTTCTACTTTTTTTATCAATTTAGAATTACGGTACTATTTTCAATTATTAATAAAAATTACATATGTATTTTAGATTAATCGATAAGAAAAATAAGCATTTTTGAAATATTAATAACTAAATACAAATTAAACAACAAATGAATAAAAAAGCATTTAAAACACGTTGACTGCCGAAGCAAATGTTGTGGTCGGGTCTGCTGAGCCGAAGTAGTTTTTCTAAAAATTTAAGTCTGTTTTTATGTTTTAAGAGCAAAGTAGTTTAAGTAAATACTTAGGTAAACTACAATATCTAATAGAAGCGTGAATAAAATATATAAACGCGGCGCGGGATTAAATTATTACAAACATATGTCGCGTGCATATATTGTGAATAATATATTCAGGTTGTCCCATTAGTGCGTAATTGTTCAATATTTCAATTTGTGTTGTAGACACGTAAACAATTTCTAAATAAAAGTTATATGAATTTCAAAAATAGGTATTTTAAAGATATTTTTAGATATACAGGGTTTTGTGTTTTTGTCTGACAAATAAAACGGTATATTTTTTTAAGTAGAAAAACCCTGTATTTTACTTCAGTTTTAGAATGCTTTAGTAATACTGTATTTAACCCTGGAATTTTATTAACAAATATTGCAGGGTTGCCAATAAATTAATTTTTTTATGAAATTAGAGAATGATTCAGACCCCAAATTAAATTATCATTATTTAGGTAGGTTTAAAATAATTTCGTGTTTTGATTTAAAAATGTATAGGTTTGGTCAACATCTCGTTTATGGACCACCCTGTATATATAGAAATAATTTTTAAATATGGTCATACAACTTTTATATTAATTTTTTTTTCTTATTTCGAATAATAAAACAGCTATCGATCAATTACGCACTGATGGGACACTCTGAATATATGTTATTCTCTAACATGTTAGTATCGTTGGTTATGCAAATTTATAAGGAATTGTATGCTAAAATATTATATTGGATGCTGCCTTTGAAAAAATTGAGTAATTTACTTAAAAGTAACCATATTTAAAACATGTTTCAAAACACACGCCATAAAAGAATCCAACACTATCACTACTATTCGTTATCTTAATGTGCTATAAGTCAGTATATTAAACAATTTTGAAATCAATGTAATCCTACCTAAATTATGATAATTTAATTTGGGGTCTGCATCATTCTCTAATTTCATAAAAATGTAATTGCTTGGCAAACCTGTAATATTTTTTTAAATTATTCTAGGGTTGAATACAGTATTACCAAAATTGAAAATTGAAATAAAATACATGTTCTATTTTAAAAATATGCCAAGCAAAAATGTAACACCCTGTATATATCCAAAAATATTTTTAAAATATGTAT